TTTTTTTTTTTGAGACAGAGTCTCACTCTGTTGCCAAGGCTGGAGTGCTGTGGCACGATCTCGGCTTACTGCAATCTCCACCTCCTGGTTTCAAGCGATTCTCCTGCCTCAGCCTTCCGAGTAGCTGGGACTACAGGCATGCACCACCACGTCCCGCTAATTTTTTGTATTTTTAGTAGAAACAGGGTTTTGCTATGTTGGAAAAGCTGGTCTTTACTTCTGGCCTTAAGTAATCCACCTGCCTCGGCCTCCCAAAGCGCTGGAATTACAGGTGTGAGCCACTGCGCCTGGCCCTTACATATTTTTCAATCAACAAAATAACCTGAAAAACACTTATCAACAGCCAATGTTTGATTGGCCTGGAGAAGTTCCACATCACTGCTCCCTACTTTTTAATCATTTCAGCACACCTCACCGTACTCCAAAATAGAAGAACTGACCTTGACTGTTTTTAAACACCGTGGCACTTGGTTGCAATGGTGCAATCTGTGAGTGGCCTTTCTGTCCACAGAAACGGACAGTGTCCACACCACGGGGCAGTGAGCCTGCGGGTCCTCCAGGGTCGGTCTCTCCCTCCTCACGTGGCTCACTGAGAAGCTCGTTTCTGAGCATTATGTCACCCTTGAAAATCAGACTGTAAAGAACTGGTGATTGTTCATGATTTCAGATTTTAACAGAACGAGCCAAGACCCATTGATGATCAAGATAATGCGTGCCCATGTGCACATGTGGTATGACGCGGACACGGGGGAGAATGACCTGTCACTGCTGGAGCTGGAGTGGCCCATCCAGTGCCTAGATGCGGGGCTCCCTGTGTGCACCCCTGAGAACGACTTCGCTGAGCACCTCCTCATCCCACGCACTGGGGGCCTCCTCAGCGGCTGGGCACGCAATGGCACTGACCTGGGCAACTCGCTGACCACGCTGCCTGTCACACTTGTGGAGTGGGAGGAGTGCGGGCAGATCCTGAATGTGACCGTCACCACCAGGACCTATTGTGAGAGAAGCAGTGTGGCGGCCGTGCACTGGATGGAGGGAAGTGTGGTCACCAGAGAGCACAGAGGCTCCTGGTTCCTCACAGGGGTCCTGGGCTCACAGCCAGCAGGAGGGCAGGCTCGCATGGTCCTTGTCACCAAGGTCTCCAGGTACTCACTCTGGTTTAAACGGATCATGAACTAACTGAAACCCAGCCAGAAAGAACACAGCCTGAAGTGGGATTCCAAGCTTGCATTGCCACCATGGAGAGCACTGAAACTTCACCACACGCTTAGAGGCCGTCACAGTCCCGGGCCACCGCTCAGCCCCAGGCCACCCGCTCAGCCCACGGAGCAGCAGAGCCGCCCTTGCTGGGCCATTTACTGAGCACTGTGACCTTTCTTTCCCTGGATCTCTTTCTCTCAATAGAGACCTTCAGAAAAAACATGAGATGCATTAAATAATAAAATAAGATAATCTGTCAGTCATAAAACAGTCTGGTTTCCAGAACATCTTTCCTTCTCCAAGTCCAGTGTTCTCTGTGCTCAGGGAACAGCCACCCCGGCCCGCACACAGGCGAGTGTGTTCTGGTGCAGAAGCCGCAGCAATCGCCGGTTACAGCAGAAAGTGACCTCCTCTGTTGGTTCCCCAGTTGCCATGGGGACTGAGGACCACGGCTCAGTGCAGCAGCAGCCACTTGAAGCAGGTTGGCAATGGAGGAGAACGACCCTGGGGGTACCTCAGAGAGGCAGCATTAGAGGAAAGGGCCAGGGAGCACGAGAGAGGCTGAGGAGGCATGTCAGCGTCTCACGGGGTTGTGCACCAGCCCTTCTCTGGGAGGGTTCCCACAGAAGGTTCCGGGGCCCCGGGTCAGGGCTGAGCACTGAGTCCCAGATCTCTGCTCATCCCACCAGGTGGCTCTTAGACAAGTGCTCCACCTCTTCATGCCTCAGGGTCGTCCAGGGTGGAGTCACAGCGCCTCACCAATGGGCTGATGGGCAGCTAGGGCGACGCTCAGCACTGTTGTGGCTTGAGTGTGTGTCCCTTCAAAACTCGAAATTGGAACTTACCCCAAGATGACGGCATGGGGAGGTGGGGCCCTCGGGAGGTGATCAGGCCATGAGGGCTCTGCCAGCCCCTTCCATCTCTTCTCCCACGCGAGGATGCTGCAGCGAGGTGCTATCCTGGAGACAGAGGGCCCTCAGCAGACACCAAATCTGCCGGCACCCAGATCTTGGACTTCCCAGCCCCCAGATCTGTGAGAAATGAGTTCCTGTTGTCACCATGAGACTCCATGGTATTTTGTAGAACAGACCAGGACAGCACGTACTGAATCACAGTGACCACCTGCTGTCATGAAGGCTGCAGCTGCAACCCAAGTACCAAAGACAGGGCTGCAGTCCAGCCCCCAGTGAGACAGGGCTGCAGTCCAGCCCCCGTGAAACTTCCTTGGAGACGGGAGCTCCTAGCGGGGTCTGAATTTGCACTGAAACGGACAGAAATGGTGTAAATGTTCACATTTTAACTCTGACTTAGTTAAGGAAGGGACACAGCTGCTTCTCCACCAGTGTCCTTGAGCGACACAGAGCTCACAGCGGCTGCCTGTGGGAGGTGGGCAGACGAGGGCCGCTCAGCTCAGGCAAGGGTGAGGGCCAGCTGCAGGCGCCTCGGCCAGCAGAGCCTTGTTGAGGAGCACAGAGGACTTTTAAAAAGGGGACTGAAAATGTAGGCAGACAAACAGTCTCTTGAGTTGAAAACAAGTGACACATAACTTGGGTTTTTAAGCCTTACTGTTCTTCAGCACACTCTCTTTCATTTACTCTTTAATCCCAGAATTAAACTTCTTTTCTCCCATCTGTAGATGAAATGGCCCATTTCTCTGAAAGGACCTTGGCGAAAAGCAACACTGTAATTTAAGGCAAATTAATGGGGAGGGGAGTTTAAAATTCACTAGGGTGAGTTTTAAAGTCTTAGTGAACTTTGGCTGTATTATTCTCAAACTACAATAAGGTAATTAAGTCACTGCTTTAAATGCCTACTAATGATTTTAAAATCCGCTAATGAACATGGCAGGCTTTCTGTACACAATGCTGCAGAAATGTCTGCAATCTTGCTTCTGGTACTTCTATTACAAATTTGGATTTACTAAACTAGAGTGGAAGCCCTACTTGAAAACTATTCCAGGCCGGGCGCGGTGGCTCACGCCTATAATCCCAGCACTTTGGGAGGCTGACGCAGGTGGATCACGAGGTCAGGAGTTCAAGACCAGTCTGACCAACATGGTGAAACTCTGTCTCTCCTAAAAATATAAAACAAAACAAAAAAAATTGCCATGTGTGGTGGCTCACGCCTGTAATCCCAGCTACTCAGGAGGCTGAGGCAGGAGAATCACTTGAACCGGACAGGCAGAGGTTGCAGCGAACCGAGATCATGCCATTGCACTCCAGCCTGGGCAATAGAGCAAGACTCCATCTCAGAAAAAAGGAAAAAAAAAAAAAAGAAAGAAAACTATTTCAAACACAGCTGGGCAGAGGCAAAGCATACAAAGACCCTCCCTGCATAATGGTGAAATCTGTGAAATCAGGGACAATCAGAGAAAGCTACAGGCCAAGACTGTCAGCAGACATGAGGGGCCTTCGAAATGAAAGAACTACTCTACTGGTGTTTAATGACACGCTTAGAAACCGCACCATAAACAAATCTAACAAAACAATAAAACTCAAGAAAAGGGAAGCTAGCTATGATGACTCTGTTTTCCTTGTTTTTTGAGACAGGGTCTCTGTCTGTCACCCAAGGCTGGAGTGCAGGGCACGATCCTAGCTCATTGTGGGCTCGACTTCCTGGGCTCAACTGACGCTCCCACCGCAGCCTCGACTACAGGTGCCACCACCATGCCCAGCTCATTTCTGTATTTTCTGCAGAGATGGATTTTGCCATATTGCCCAGGCTGGTCTCGAACTCCAGGGCTCAAGCAATCTAACTGGCCTCAGCCTCCCAAAGTGCTGGGGTCATAAATGTGAGCCACCACGTCCAGCCTGTGATGATGTTTTAAAAGGACCAAACAAGTTTGCACTTGGGCAGAGATTAAGTCCAACATCTGAATCCATGCAAACACACTGATATATGCCCACATGGACACCCATGAACTTGAATGCTACCATGCTAGACGTAGGCCTTGATATGTTTTGGCTCTGTGTCTCCACCCAAATTTCATCTCGAACTGTAATCCCCAGGTGTCGAGAAGTGACTGGATCATGGGGCGGCTCCCCCATGCTGTTCTGGTGATAGTGGGGCAGTCTAACGGGAGCTGATGGTTCTAAAAGTGGCAGTTTTCCCCACGCTCGCCTCCCCTTCTGCCATGATTGTAAGTTTCCTGTGCCCGCCCCGCCGGTCGTGTGGAACTGTGAGTCCATTAAATCTCTCTCCTTTACAAATTACCCAGTCTCGGGCAGTTCTTTATAGCAGTGAAAACAAACTGACACAGGCCTGAACACCAAGAGGTAAATGTAAGGACACCTATACTGAGGTTGTTTCTTTCATTGCTAAGAATAACCATCCAATTACCTTAAAGTATCAGTCCTTGACTTCAGGTGTCACTATGGACGGTTCAATATGTTACCCAGAAATGTTGACAAACCTGAGCTTTCTACCGCTATTAAATCCAGAATGAAATTCAGGTATGCCGGTAGAAATTCCAATATTCAAATTACTGTAAGAAAATCACTTAAATCAAAAGTTGAAGGATGTTCAAGGTCCATGCTGAGCAGCAGGGAAGATCAGATTTCCTTACCCAACACTGAAAGAGAACAGGGCCGCACTGGACACATGAGTAGCCAGAAAACAGACGCAGCACCCAAAGCCTTCACCAACATGAGTTCGCTCCGTGTCTGCCCCACAGGACATAGGAGGCACTTGTCACGACTGCCAGCGCTGAGGACCTTGCTGCTCATGGGGAGCAGCTCTGTAGGTCAAGAGGATCCTTGGCATGAAGTCCACAGGCACAGGCGCTTGCCCTCCTGCAGCTCGTGTGTGCGTGCGGCAGTCCACGGCTGGAATCCGGGTGTGACTTAAGAGAGAGCAGGGCATACAAGAGTTCTGGCTTCCCTGGCTCTACTGGGATCTGCGCTCCCAGAATCCAGCTCCCTGTGTGTGGAAAGAAATAGGGGAGCCCACCCATAGCCCTGCTGAGCCCCAGGTGAGAGCCCAGGGCTGATACATGGGAATGAGTCACCTTCAGAGGGGCCCATTCAGGCCCCAGAAGAGCCCACAAACTTCCCCGCCCAGCCCCGAAGAAACTGTAGACCTGCAGATGTAGGAGCGAGCTAAGGAGTGCCGCTGAAGCCCTGGGGCAGTTCCTGCGTCCAGGGGAACCTGAGGAAGGAGCCACACAAAGTGAGTCCTGCACTGTGAAGCCCAGAGAGAAAGAAAGAGGGATTCACACTTTGTAGCACAGCTTCTCCTTGCACAAGCAGCTTTCAAATGCAGTAACTTTGCAAAGATGAGCTAATATGGTTTGTGTGTTCTTCTTTAGTAAATTTGTTATAAACAGGGAAATGTGCACACTCTGAAAAATGGCAGTGCTGGGGACTAAACTGTGTCCTCCCAAATTTCTTACGTTGAAGTACTAACCCCCAATGTGACTGTATCTGGAGGTAAGGTCTTCAGGAGGTAACTAAGGCTAAATGCGGTCATAAGGGTGAGGTCCTAACCCAACAGAACTGTGGCCTTATAAGAGGAAGAGAGCCAGGTGTGGTAGCACATGCCTGTCATCCCAGCACTTTGGGAGGCCGAGGCGGGAGAATTGCTTTAGCCCAGGTGTTCCAGACCAGCCTGTGCAACATTAGCAAGACCCTGTCTCTACAAAAACTAAAAAAATTAGTTGGGTGTGGTGGCATGCACCTGTGGTCCCAGCTACTCGGGAGGCTGAGGAGGGAAGACCACTTGAGCCCCAGAGGTTGAGGCTGTAGTAAGCACTGACTGCACCACCGCACTCCAGCCTGGGCGACAGAGCAAGGCTCTGTCTCAAAAAAAAAAAAAAAAGAGAGAGAGTCATCTCTGTCTGTACCATCTCTAGCACAGCAAGGATAACACCATATTCTTGAGTGCGCAGCTCAGAAGACAGTCCTCCCCAGAAGCCAACCATGCTGGTAACCCCATCCCAGGCAGACCTGCAGCCTCTAGAACTGTGAGGAAATACACTCCTGTTGCTTAAGCTGCCCAGCCTGTGGTATTTTGTGATGGCAGCCCAATAGCCCAATGTGAGTGGCCCGACTTAGCAACTGTCAACCTCACCATGGTGCCAAAGGGACGCACTCAGGGGCAGCCATGCCTCAGCGTCCACACAGCCCTTCGGTTTCCACTCTCCGTGCAGCACTCGGTAAGCTACACGAGATATTTACACTTTTATTTTTATTTATTTTTTTGAGACAGAGTTTCACTCTTGTTGCCCAGGCTGGAGTGCAACAGCGTGATCTCAGCTCACTGCCACCTCTGCCTACCTCCGCCTCCCAGGTTCAAGCAATTCTCCTGCCTCAGCCTCCTGAGTAGCTGGAATTACAGGTATGCACCACCACGCCCGCCTAATTTTGTATTTTTAGTAGAGACAGGGTTTCTCCGTGTTAGTCAGGCTGGTCTCCAATTCTTGACCTCAGGTGATCTGCCCGCCTTGGCCTCCCAAAGTGCTGGGATTACGGGCGTGAGCCACCACGCGTGGCATCTACACTTTATTATAAAATAAGGTCAGCTTCGTGTTTGATTTTGCCTAAGTGGAGGTTTCTGGGTATGTTAAGGCAGGCTAGAGTGAGCCATACTGTTTAGTAGCAGGTGTATTCAAATGCATTTTCAACTTAAGATGTTTTTTTAAAAGTAACGTGTTTTTTTTCAACCAACAAAGCAAAGGTAAATAAAGTAAGTTTATTGGGATGTAACCCCATCATAAATTGAGGAGCATCCATACGGGCAAGCTATAAAATCTGGAAAATTTAAATCAAATTAAATTCTGCTTTTAAAAAGATGCCTTAAGTTAACCAAGCATTTTGATAACATATTCAAATTTAATATATAAAAATAGATGTATCCTGGAAGATATAATGAAGAACATGCCATGTGTATAAATTCAGAATACCCTTTTTATACAAAGAACTACAAAAAGTTACAAAGACAGCCTTCAGGAACCACACTTAGGAAAAGTGAGCCGGAGCTGCCTTCACGCAAAGCCTCCTTCAAAGAAGTTTCACAAAGACTCCAGAACCAGCCGAGTTTTGTGAAAAAGGAATTCCAGGTTTTCATCAGGCTGAAATTAGTTACAAACGGAGGAGACTGACTCAGGTGTGCTGACAATCTCAGCCTCGGCATCCCAGGGAGAAGCGCCTCCCAGAGTTCCGGCTTCAGGGGGCCTTGTCGCAGTACCAGACCGGTCTCATCGGCACAACCAGAACAGAAAGAAACAACTGCTCACCCGTCCTCAGGGCTTCGGACACACTCAGCACACCGTGGACAGCGGAGGAAATGGGTTCTGCTTGCTGACCACCAGCTTCTGATGCTGATGCGATATGTAGCCTTTGATGTGGCCCTGCAGGACAGAAAGGCAGGAGTTCGTTTACATTTCTGGATCTGAGTCATGTCCAAGATGCTGGGTGATCTAATAAATTTGGCATTAAGCATTCTTCCCCAAGAGCGGCACAGTTCAGTTCAGCGGGAAGACAATGAATAAAAATAAATACAATCGACCCTCCATATCCATGGTGGGTTTCACATCCGTGAATCCAACCAACTGTGGACTGAAAATATTTGGGAAAAAAAAAACGCATCTGTATTGAACATGTACAGATGCTCTTCCCTGCCGTGATTCCCTAAACAATACAGTATAACAGCTATCTACAGTGCACTATTTTAAGTAACCTAGAGATAATTTAAAGTATACAGGAGAATGTGCATAGCTCATATGCAAATACTACGTCCTATCAGTGATTGCAGCACATGTGGATTTTGGTATCCGAGGGGGGTTCAGAGACTCAACAGATACCGAGGGATGTACCGCCGGTAAAGAATATGCAAACATACAGAGTATCCATCCCCTCATGCTCCTAAGGTCCTGGTGAATGGTATTTCCTGGGCTAAAATTAGTTCTACCAAAAAAAATACCTTCAATAAAAGCAAAAGATATTTTAACAATTTTAACACCACCACACTGAAGCTTCAAATTCTGGTCTGAATCCTGCTGTGAGTAGCTGCTTAAATTAAAACTAGGACTCACATACCATGTATATCAAGTTAGCCAGAATACACTGAACTTCGTCAATGTCCACGTCCTCCACCTGCATGAATTTCAAGGCAACCAGAAAAGCATCCAGAGACAGCTGGTGTGTTTTCAGTAACAAATACCTGCAAGAGGGGAGGAGACGGGCACTGTGGTTACTGACAGGACACAGCACTCCGCAACCAAGAAAAGGCACCTTTTAATAAGCCAGTGTTCTAAAGGAGCACAAAAATTCCCACCTATTAAACTCTAAAATACACTCTCAAAGAGCTATTAAATCTAATTTGACTTTTCAATCTTAAAAAAGTCACTAGTACAAATACAGTTTTTAATTATTTTCTAAATATTTCATTAATCTAAGGTGCCTTTTTTTCACATTTTAATCTCCCTGAAATCAGGAAGCACCTGACAACGGGCTGTGTCTCACTGATTCAGCGAAATACGGCCCCTACTCTTTGTGATGTGCTACCCACAGCTCTCTACAAAGTTGGCCTTTGCCTGAAGTTTACTGAACTGAGATCCTGCTGGGACGAGGCCTCAGAAGACATGTGAGGAAAGGAATGACGATCTCTGTGTCTGCATTTGTGACAGGCAGAGTGGCTGGGAGGGCTGCTTAGTCAGGACTAACGGAGGGGAGTGAGTAGCGAGTCCTATGTGGTCTGATGAAACGTGGTACCGCAGCTCTCAGGGCTGATGTTCTCAGGTCGTCTTCTCACACAGAATCTGCTTACCTCCCCCAGAAGTCGAGGCACAGCTTGTGCTACTCACGTGTCTCTGCGCAGGGCCCCAGCAGGCAGTGGGCGGAGGCTTCATTTTATCCCACACAGCGGAAGAAAGATGACGACCCTGCCCACACGGTAGCCTCCTTTCTTAGCCTGCAACGGCCCTGGACGTCTGACCGCTCTGCCGAGAGCCACGCTGGGAGCCCAGTGCGCTGGGGAAACGCTTACACTTTCTTAAAGAGGTTCCTGTAGGTGATGATCTTCAGCTTCTCCAGGATGAGGAAGATCCCACAGCGAATGAAGAAGGCCTCGTGCTTCGCCAGCGCCTCGTGCAGCAGCAGCAGGTTGCCCTCGCTGGTGGGGGGGACACGCGTCAGAAGGAGGGTGAGTTTCTCACACAGCGTGCACGTCAACTCTCACCAGGCTTGCATTTGTAAAACCCCAAACGGAAAGGATAGCATACTCTACCTCACAGCTCTGGTTACTTCCGCAAACTGCATCAGGTGATACTTTTTCAGGAGCTCAACAGTGGGCATGTGACCCTAAGACAGAGTCAATTTTCCAGAATGAAAACACTTTCATTTTTGACAAAATTGTCTTTGATAAACATTCATATCAAGGAATTAAGTTTTAAGAAAATTGCAACCTGAGTTTCTTAGATGTCCACAGATTAAACACATCACAGCACATTAGGAAAACAACACGGGTCTAGAAATCAGAACACCTGGTGCAACACACGTGCGTCATGCATGACACATGACCTGAAATCAGAACGCCTGGTGCAGTACACGTGCGTCATGCATGACACGTGACCTGAAATCAGAACACCTGGTGCAGTACACGTGTGTCATGCATGACACGTGACCTTCATCTTGACCTTCTCACATTTCTTTGCATTTCTACAACAGGAGAGTGATAACTGAAGAAACGCGAGTATAAGCATGTGATCTAGGAATACGGAGGTAGCTTCCAGAAGAATCAGCTAAGAATTTGACACTGGCTGTCTCTTAAACAGGGTGAGAAGTGGGGAGGGCAGGGCCACAGCAGCACTTCTCCATCACAATCCATTCGGAATTACAGACGCTTTAGCCAGCTGTGTGTAATGCTTTTCTCGGTCAATTAACTTGCCAGTTATTTCAAGTATCAAAAATACATTTTAGTAACTAAATGAAATACCCAGAGAGAGGTTGAAATGACATTTTTTCTTTCTCGGTGAATCCACTGCTTTTAACTTAGGTTTTAAGGGAGGAATACAAATGATAGGTACTTATTTCGTCACATGAATATTAAACTGTAGAGCTAAATACTTTAAAGGGAAACAGGACACAGGGAAAGCTTTTCTAGAAGGACCTGGAGGCGTAAGGCATGAAGCTCTGGGTTTCGGCCACACACAGTGCATGTTCCTTCTTCATTCTGGGGTGTGCCCATACATAGCTCAGGCTGTGATCAACCACTGTCTGCTAGGTTTTAAAAAGCCTATCAGCTGTCAACTTCGTGAAAACACCAGGATCTATAAACAGGGAGTAACAATCACTCACCAATAGCATTTTTACTGGAAGCAAATAGATCAGAATCATCCTTTTGTTCTTTTGACTAGAACGGTGACAATGCTCAAAGGCAAATGACAGGTACTCCTCGGCTGCAAAGAAGGCAGAGCCAGCACGCGTGAGACCAACGCACCTGCTTCAGGCCCCTTCCTGCTCCGTATTCTACCACCGTCTCCTGATTTAAAAGGCAAAAGCCCCCTCCCTTTATTATCTCAAAAAATATCAGCCCAGTTTCATTTCTGTGATCAATGACTTTCCTTAAGTAAAATCTATAACCCCAAATTCAACAGGAACTGCCTGGGAAGTCCTACTTAACAGAGAAAAACTGAAGAAACTAACTTTCACAGAGATTCTGATTTGCCTAAGGTCATCTGGCAAGCCATTATGATAACATTTTAAAAGTTTGACCCTGCTCAGATGATTTCTACATTCATGAAAAATGTAAAGACATATTTAAAAATGTACCTCCACAATACATTTTAATCACTCATAATTCAACAGAATGAAAATAACTTAATGAAACACCATCCTCCAGCTTAACATATAATTAGTGATCATATATCTTCTATTTTAAATGACCACATGCTTTAAAAAATTCTTATTAACGTATATTAATTCTGTCCTGACAGCAATCTTAAAAAAGGATTCCATTTCATATAAAACAGATTTGAATTTAATAGATTTCAAAATACAAAAGTAATTCTACTTGTCAAGCTTAATCCTACAAACTGCACATGACAGGCCTGCGGAGAGTTCAGCCGCACGAGGAACTCTCAGAACAGGCAGGAGCTGAGCCTCGTCCTGAGGCCGGAAAGCTGAAGGCAGAGGAAACGTCAGGGGTTTCTGGACAATGATTCCACATTCTCCCAAGGGGATGGGAAGAGGCTTTGCTAAGGCTGGGTTTGGGTCAAGAATTAGGAAAGTAAGATGTTCCTGTTTATGTAAGTTCTTCCTGAACAGTGATACTAAGTCCCAAATACAAGAGAACAGAGATGCTCAGAGCTGCAGAGGCCCTCCCTTATGCAGAATGGGTCACCAGAAGCAACAGGCCCTAGGGTCTGGGTTGAGGCCTAGGGAACCCACACTGAGACCACACACTGCCTCTGCTCCTAAACTGTGTGGCCACATTGGCACAAGAAACATCCAGTCTTGCACAGTGAGCGTGAATGCTGTGGGGCCAGTGTCGCTTCCAAACTACAAAGCCATGACCCACAAGGAGCCCTGTGGGGCTGAGACCAAGGAACAAGGATTCACTTAGAGTCTGCAGTATCCCACCCGCTGCCAGTTTGACTTTTGCAACCTAGCCTCTAAAAAGTGTACCTTTGCTACTGCCCGAGGTAATCTCAAATTCTCCTGGATGTACAAAAATGCATTTTTCTTTCTTTTGTTTTTTTTTTGAGATGGAGTCTCGCTCTGTCACCCAGGCTGAGTGCAGTGGTGCGATCTCGGCTTGATGCAAGCTCCGCCTCCCGGGTTCACGCCATTCTCCTGCCTCAGCCTCCTGAGTAGCTGGGACTACAGGCGCCCGCTACCGCGCCCAGCTAAGTTTCTGTATTTTTAGTAGAGATGGGGTTTCACCATGGTCTCGATCTCCTGACCTTGTGATCCACCCGCCTCGGCCTCCCAAAGTGCTAGGATTCAGGCGTGGGCCACTATACCCAGCTAAAAAATGCATTTTCTAATAGTTAATGCAAGCTGAGATTTTTCTGCTGTCTTTGAGGGAACCTTAGTCATTTTGCATCAAATAATATATTTCGGTTGGAGTTAAAAATATTTAGTGGGGTATAAATCTCTGAAATTAATAAATTAATGAAAGTATACAACAACTGAGATACTCCAAATATTCTCTTACATAAATAATATAAAATCACAGGGAAGAAAATCACCACAATCTCTGCAGACATTTTATCCACTTAAATACAATCAGGGCTCTGGGAATTCCTGGCAGTAAAATGGAAAACAACATCTCTGAGAGCTACAAGGCAGAAGATCTATGGCCGGCGCTGGCTTTTTGAGGACACAGAATCGCTCAGTAATCTCGGAACATCACACTCTCAATGGCTATTTCTTTTACAGTCAAACAAAAGGGTTGGATGATACAGACTTAAATAAACTTTTTAGCTCTAAAGATGTCAGAAACTATGAATATGTCACATCAATATTAATAATCATTTCTGGCTATGTTAGGTATTCAAAAATACCACCTAATGAATCCTCAGAAGAAAAAAAAATCAGTATCTTAATAAAATCCAATAGAATAGAATTTAAAAGCTTCTCTACCTTTATGCTTCATATTAAGAGAAAAAAAAAAAAAGAGAGGAACAGATAAGAAAAGCCCTTCTTTAAAAGCCCTAGATCTACTAAAAACTGTGAAGAAATCAACAGTCAGACTATATAAGCCTATACAGTAAAAACTGTGAAAGGAAATGGTCAGTCTATACAAGCCCATAGAATAAAAAGCCAGAGCATCCTTACGAAAGGGCTACTATTTATCTTGCACTGCCTAAGGTTATGTTGCTTCATGTACTTGGGGCTGTGTGCTCAGCAAACAGCTGAAGAAGAGTTTAAAGTCTGGTCTGAGTACAACAGAAGACATCACAAAGAATGATGCCATGACAGCCAATAAAAAATTACAAAAAGAAGAAAGGACTAGTTTCTTGTTCTTGAGAAAGTTACCAACGTAAACTAATACAATAATGTCAGGTTTGGCAGCAACACACTGCGCGAGGCTGTTTAAACGTGAGCTCTGACGCCAGGTCCAACAGCATATCCCCTACTTCTAAGTCATTCCATGTGGGATTTGTAGGTCGTTAAGTCAGTCGCTGAACTAAATGTTGTCCTAATCTCCATTTCCTATGTCAACATAACCAGCATCTATTACAGGGTCAAAAGGCAAATAGAGAAAACAATGATTTACATTCTATTCCGAGAACAGTCATGTTTAGTGAACTCAGAAAGGATGTCTGTGATGCCTGTGAGACTCCAGCATGCACTTCAGAGACCCAGTGTGGATTAAGAACCTTCAATATAATTTCCCTTTATTTAATCAGCTTTGGTGTCAAATATGTATATATAAGTTGATCTGTATTTACACAAATATTCTACCCTTAAAAATAAAATACAGTAATTGTGTTCTCTGACACTATATTATTCAAAGTTGTTCAGAATGCAACGTCTTATTTAAAATACTGGGAAAAAAAAGATTAGCAACATACCTTGCTTAAAGTCACTGTCAAACATGGCCTTGCGTCCAACGTAGTATTTGTATGTTACTCTCTGTGCAGTGCTGTAATCGTCTTTCAGGTTTGAGCTGTCAATTGCTCTAATTAGGGGTTTACATAAATGGAGTTTGTTGATCTATAATGAATAACAATCCATTTAAAATATTTAAAAACAACAAAAACGGGGTAAAACAAATTACTATGCATGTCTCCTCAAAATGCAAATTACAAAACCTATTATATCACAAAAATTATTTATATAATAATAAAAACCAAAACAGAAAGCAGCCATTGTAGACGACATTCACCCTGGGAGGCTCTGAGAAGCCGTTCCAGGTGGCACAGCCCTGCAGAAGCCTGTGCTTATGCAACACCGGCAGGAAGGTGGGGTGCTCTACAGGAGTGGAAAGCCCTGGACAGAAGGCACAAGGCCCAGCTGCTGACACATGATGGGCTGCTCTTCACCTGATTGACTTTATGTGGCAATGGTTTCTGTATCCATCTATCCATCTACATGCCTGCTTTTCCATAGTTAATTATGACCACAGAAGACAAAAGGCTCTGGAGTGAAACCACCTGCACTGAAAGTCCAAGCTCACCATGCCGGGCCAGCTGCTTCACACGCAGGTGCCTTTGTCTCCCCGGGGCCGGGAGCGCTAACCTCAGAGGGCCGGTTGTCAACAGGAGACATTCAGAACAGTGCCTTGCCCCTAGCAGGCATTCAACAAAGGTTCGCTATTAAGACTAGGAATACGGTTTTGACCATTTCGCAAGCAACGCCAGGGAGGCTAGCTAACCATATATGGTATGTGGGAGGACAAGGAGAATGGAAAATTGGAAAGACAGACAGAATTCAAACAGAAGCGCACCTTGAAGTAGATTTTAAACAACTGGTTCACCAGAAACAGCATGCCCCACTTCTTAGAGTCCTCTATACCAGCACGGCTATGGGGAAATAATTTTTTTTAAGTTACATAGCAAATAAAATTTTTATTTCACAAAATAAACTGCCTAAACAAATTAATATCTTGAGATAAAGTACCAAAGCTCAAGTCATATTCATATCAAGTCATATTCATCAAACAAAATAACATTATGAAAAAAGATGTCTTACCTGATGGGTAAAAATGAAAGAAAAAGCAAACCAGGAAAATCTCAATTAACTACTTGAGTAACATCCTCCCTCTGCGTCACCAACTAAAAACTGCCTCGTTTGCAGCAACAATGTGTAAAAGTTAACTGTTATAAACCATTTTTGAAAAATGGAAAAATAGGGCATGGTGGTGCGTGCCTGTAATCCTGGCTACTCAGGAGGCTGAGGCCGAAGAATCACTTGAACCTGGGCCAGTGCATTTCAGCCTGGGTGACAGAGCATGACTCCGTCTCAAAAAACAAAAACAAAATCCAAAAAAAGAAAACTAGAAAAATACCTTCTCATCAGGACAACAAAACAAACCAGTAAAACACACAGAGGATGAGTCCCACCAAGGAAGACACAAAAAGTACACACTGTAGGCATCCATTTACATGAAGTCCCCAGAAAGGCAGGAAGTGACCCACAGGGGAACAAATCCAGACAGCAGAAAGGGCCTGCCCCAAATGAGGGACGAGGGAAGTTTCCAGGTTGACAATCATGTCCTACACCTCAGCAGCAAGCAGACAGATAATACTGTAGGTAGTTAATCATGTCCTACACCTCAACAGCAAGCAGACAGATAATACTGTAGGTAGTTAATCATGTCCTACACCTCAACAGCAAGCAGACAGATAATACTGTAGGTAGTTAATCATGTCCTACACCTCAACAGCAAGCAGACAGATAATACTGTAGGTAGTTAATCATGTCCTACACCTCAACAGCAAGCAGACAGATAATATTGTAGGTAGTTCACTGTCCTATACCTCAATAGCAAGCAGACAGATACTACTGTAGGTAGTTCGCTGCATGTAAATTTACCTCAAAAGACTGAAGAAACAGAAACTGAAGCACCTAGGTGAGGTGTGCCTCTGTCTGCAATTAACTTAGAAATAGTCACGTGTTATACAACATTTTGGTCAACTACAGATGACCATTGAGATGGCGGTCCTACAGATTCTCATACTGTATTTTTACTGCATCTTTTTGGTGTTTAGATATGTTTAGAAACAAATAATTCCCATTGTGTTCCGGTTGCCTACAGCATTCAGTGCTGCCACACAAGGGCTGCTCTTGCTCCTGGCAGCCTGGGAGCCACAGGCTACTCCACACAGCGGTGGTGTGTACTAGGCCACGCCATCTAGGTTTATGGAAGTACACAACAAAATGATAAAATCACTCAGAGTCAAGGCACAAAAATACAAAAGTGCCCAGTACAGAAAACAAGCAGGTGGTTTACAAGCCAGAGAACATAAAATTACTCTTAAAGACCAAAATGTGTCCGTATAGAAACACTTAAAATAATGTAAACATACAACTTTAAACTGTTAAAGCCTGTTTTATAACTGCCTGTGAGCTGCTCTAAGCAGCTCTGTGACTTTTATCACTTCCGAGGTGTATGACCTCAAACAAGAGTCTCTCAAGGTCTCGTTTTCCTCATCTGAAAACGGAGACAAATAATAATACTGTTCTATGACTTCAAAGAGTTACAGGAAAACCAAACAAAACACACAAGTACTATGTAAATCACATAAAATGCTGCATGTATGGTAATATCGTAGCTGGTCTGGCACCAGGAACAATGACCTCTATTGGAGAGTATGTGACGAAAACAAACCCCAAGGGGAAAGATGTCACTGGGGATTTGCCTCTGTCTTCTGAGTGTCCCCTCGGGGTGGAAATGCTGGGTCACACGGTAGCTCTACATTCAACTTTGAGGAACTGCCTTCCCGTTTCTGCACAGCAGCTACACTGGTTTTGTTCTCCTGGCAATGTGTATGAGGCTCCAGTCTCTGCATCCTGGCTGGCGCTGCCCATCTTTCTGATTACAGTGCTACCACTGGGTATGGACTGGCAGCTCTCGGAGGTTCTGATTTGCATTTTGAGTGACTGATGCATTAGTCATTGGTGGCTAATGATGCTGAGCATCTTTTCACGCACTTACTGGCCACTTGTGTATTTTGTTTGGCAGATTTTTCAAATTCTTTAATCATTTTAAAATTAGATTGTCTTTTTACTGTTGAGTTGTAATAGTTCTTTATATATTCTGGATATTAGGCCCTTACCAGATGTATTATTTGATAGTTTATTATTGTTTTTCACTTTTTTGAGAATGTCCTTTGAAGTCTAAAGTTTTTAATTTTGATGAAGTCCAATTTATTTTTTCCTTTGGTTGCTTATGCTTTTGTTGTCGTATCTGAGAAGCCACTGCCTAATCAAAGGTCATGAAGATCACTGCTGTGCAGGAATATACCATCAAGCAAAATTTCAAGTATTCATTTAAGAAACACTGATTGAGCTCCTGAAGTGCAAGGAGCGCGAGTGATGCAGAAGGCCCAGGCCCTCATGCACTTGGCAATCAAATACACATCACCTACACAGTCATCAATCATTCGGTAAACGCAGTGAAAGAAATGTACAGTCTGCTATGAATGTTTATAAAAGGGAAATCTGATCCACTGTGAAGTCCAGCAGCGAGAGGCTTTAGAGAGGGTGGAAACCTTTAAACGAGTGTAGACAGCCAGGAGTCGAGGAGAACCTTCCAGCAAAGGAAACGGCACTCATGGGAGGCCTCAGTGGGAAAGCGCCATGGCAGAGGAAGGACTTTTCTACAGTCCAGCCTTGGTAGGAAGGTTCCGAAGCGAGGCTGGGTAGGGAGGCCATGTTATCCCCACAGCACTATACATCTTGTAGGCTTGGCTGAACAGTTGCACAACTCAAACTCTGGTTATCTTCAGCAATAGGACGCCTGAGGTCAGAGGCTCCCCTCTTGGTTAAACCAGCTAAGATCAGCAGGATGCTAAGTGGAAGTCTTTGCAGAGCCTCCAACTTCATTACAATCTCATTTTCATGCTCAGTGACACCCCCACCAGTGCCACAACGGCTGACAATCACCACAACAATGATGAGAAGAAGCCATAAAAGGACAAAAAGATGGCAGTGCTTCAGCTCCCAGAAGTTCACCGCCCATTTCCAGAAAAGCGATTAATATTCTTCCCCTTGCTTTCAATGTCCAACCCCTTCATTCAAGAAACCCTCTATTTCAATTCCCTCACCCCTCAGGAGTAGAGAAGTTGATTTGTGAGCCACACTCCTGCTTCTTCATTCCTTGGCCTTTACATACAGCTTGCTCTGCTCAACACTTACTTTTGGTTTCATGGATTGGATCTATGACACCCAACAGGAAAAGTTCCCATCTTTTGAGGCTACCAAGTTTATTGGCAACAGACACACTGAGTGAAAAGAGAGGCTGGGCTACTGCTACTGTTTGGATATGGATTTTTGGCCACATCACACCTCATGTTAAAACACGATCCCCATTGTTGGAGGTGGAGCCTAATGGGAGGTTTTTGGGTCCTGGCGGCAAACGCCTCATGAATGGCTTGGTGCTGTCCTTGCCATAATGAATGAGTTCTCGCTCTGAGCTCCTGTGAGCGTTCCCAGAGAGCTGGTTGTAGAGGAGCCTGGCGCCTACCCTTCTATCTCCTGACTCCTCTCTTGCCATGTAGTGGGCTCCTCTTTATCTTCCAGCATGAGTGGAAGCAGTCTGAGGCCTTACCAGAAGCAGATACGAGCACCATGCTTCTTGTGCAACCTGCAGAACTGTGAGCCAAGTAAATCTCTTTTCTTACATTCCCCAGTTGTTTTGTTGACCAAAACAACTACTCTCTGGGAACAATAGTTTTTGTTTATTTACATATGGATACCTTTGATAACCTTTCTTTGTTTTAAAATTTCCTAAATCTCACAAATAAATGTAATTATATACTGGGTGAAGAGATGAGAGTTTTAGAAGAAAAAATGGAAACTCTAGAGTAGAATCAGATGGAAAGTTGAGAATTTAAAAATAAATAATGGCAGAAAAGATCAGTCAACTTGTAAGCAGGTCAATACAAATTACCTAAAATGGAGGAGAGAGGAAAAAAGAGATTGAGGCCAGGTGCAGTAGCTCATGCCTATAATCCTAGCACTTTGGGAGGCCGAGGAGGGTGGATCACTTGAGGTCAGAAAGTCAAGACCAGCCTGGCCAACATGGTGAAACCCCATCTCTACTAAAAACACAAAAATTAGCTGGACGAGGTGGCATGCGCCTGTAATCCCAGCTATTCAGGAGGCTAAGGCAAGAGAATGGTGTGAACCCAGGAGGCGGAGGTTGCAGTGAGCTGAGATGGCGCCACTGCACTCCAACCTGGGCGACAGAGCAAGACTTTGTCTCAAAAAAAAAAAAAAAAGGTTAAAAAATAAACAAAGAGACTAACAGTGGCCTGTGTGGGATAATATCAAGCATTTAACACATATGCAGTTGAAATCACAGAAAGAGAAGAGAAAAAATGGGGCCAAAAGTAGTTGAAGAATGTAAAATATTAAATTTTTAAAAACATCAACTTACAAATACAGGAAGCCCAATGAACCCTGAACAGGAGAAATTAAAGAAAAAAAAAGCCAACTATGCACATCAGAGCCAAATGACTGATGCCAAATGATAAAGAGAAAATCACAGCCAGAGCAAAAACACCCATTCTATACAGGGAACGACGGCAAGGACTCATCAGAAGCAAAGGAAACCAGATGGAATGACATTTTTAAAGTGCCGAAAGGAAAAAAACTGTCAACCCACAAGACTCCATGTAACAAAAGGAGCCTTAAAAAATGATGGTAATCTTCTTCACTGGTAAAAAGAGAAAATTTCTTAAAAAAATAAAGACAGTTTCAGAAAAATGAAAGCTTAGAGGATTCACTGCCCTCAGACCCTCAACAAATGCAAACGCGGAAGAAAGTGCTTCAGGAAAGGGAAATGGCACCAGACGGAAACTGGTTCCTGCAGAGAGGAACTTTAGGCATGGTCAAATGTGGGCAAATGAAAAGACTTTTTTTTCCCTCAGCTCTTATTTCTTTTACAAAACAATCAACTTTTTAAAGTAAACATAATGATGGTTGTGGGATTATAATATGTGTAGAAGTAAAATATACATCAACAATAAACACAGGCCAGAAAGGGTGAACACTGCGACAAAAACCACGACCGACAGTGTCCGACGGTCCTCAAGTCCTTACTCACGTGTCGCTGGCACAGACCCGGAAACAGCTCATCAGTAACTCTGCTGCTTTTTCCAACATGTCCCCAACTTTGCTTTTTCCTTTCTTTACCAACTGCTGATCTGCCTAATAAAATATAAAAACATTTATTTTATTTCATTTTTCTGAGACAAGATCTTGCTGTGTCGCCCAAGCTGGAGTGCAATGGCCCAGTCACACCTCACGGCAGCCTCAACCTCCTGGGCTCCACTGATCTTCCTACCTCAGCCTCCTGAGGAGCCAGAACCATGGAACCAGGCACTACCATGCCTGGCTAGGTTTGGGCTTTTTTTTTTTTTTTTTTTTTTTGTAGAGACAGGGTCTCACTTAGTTGCTCTGGCTGGTTCTGAACTTCTGACTCCAAGTAATCCTCTCATCTTGGCCTCCCAAAGTGTTGGGATTACAAGCGTGAGCCACTGTGCCCAGCCAAAACATTCACTTCTTAAGGCAAAAAATAGGTACAATTAAGAGCCAAAGTCCCGAAAGATTCTGGAGAAATCAGCTAGCATGTGCTACAATATTTTTAAAAATTGAGAAGTCTGTATTATTCCAATTCTTCCACAAACCTCAACTTTCTTCAATTATTTCAAGTTAAGTCAGTCACCAACTTTTCAAACCTGCACTGCATGTTACTAAGTGATTGAGCTCTCTTCCTTCAGTCCCTGAAGCTGGCTGGTCAAAACGCTCGAAATAAAAACGTTTAACAAATACCAAAGTCATCACCGAGTCTGACTTTTCCCTCGCATTTGCGAGGATGGCCTTGGTTAAAGAAGAAAGAACCTGTTTCTCCCACTTGTGTTCTCCACAAACGCAAGGCCTACAACAGGCTTGCAAATGACCCACAGCTCAAACTATATTCACGACAACACTAAGCCATCATGGTCTTTTTTTACTATATTAATTTTGCACATATATAATTTTTACTATATATATTTTGCACTGATGGTGCAAAAACAGCAATAGGTAAAATGCTGGAGTGCTCCCACCAGCAGCAAACTACACAAGTGATCATCATATTCTTAAACACCAGACACTTTGCAATCGATCAATCAATCAATCAATCAACAAACCAGTAAAAATAGTTTCCTTTTAACAATGCCCTTGATGAGCCAAGCACAGCGGCTCACACCTGTAATCCCGGCACTTTCGGGAGGCTGAGGTGGGAGAATCACTTGAGCCCAGGAGTTTGAAACCAGCCTGGGCAACATGGCAAGACTCTGCCTTTATAAAAAAATTTTTTTAATTTGCCTGGTATCGTGGCATACACCTGTAGTCCCAGCTACTCGGGAGGCTGAGGTGGGAGGCTTCATTCAGCCCCAGGAACTCAAGGCTGCAGTGAGCTATGATTGCGCCAGTGCACTTCAGCTGGGTGACAGAGCAAGATCGTCTCTAAATAAATAAATCAAATGTCCTTGATAATGCAGTAAATACGAATTTTCTTAAATCTTGGTCCTTGAGCACACGTTTTTTATATTCTTTGTGAAGAAATGAGAAGCATACAGCAATTCTGTTGCACACAGGTATCTCGTGGCTGTTTACAGAAAGCCTCTGGGCAGCTGTCTGAGCTGTGAGCTGGACTAACTGCTTCTTGTGGAACAGAAAACTGATAGACAGACACAGCTAGCTACCCAGGCTTGGGCATCTGGCTGACCATACTCTCCAAAACGAATGAAACAAATCTGTCACTTCCAGGCAAACAACTGATGGTACTGGTTGCCAACAACAACATTTGTGCTTTCAAGAAAAATCAGAATTCTGGAAAACTTTTCTCAACCACCATGAGCTTTGCAGCTTTTCCTTACTCCAAGGCTTTTCTGATGAGGCCCCTGTAGATGTTAAGAAAGGTAGGGGTTTGGGGGTTGGGTTTTTAACAGTGGTGTGCTAACACTTGGGAGTTGCTGCATGGTTCAGTAAGCCAATACTCTCCAAATGGTCTGCTATGGTCTGAATGTTTGTGTCCCCTCCAAAACTCATGCTGAAATCCTAACCCTCAAAGTGACGGTGTTTGGAACAGAGGCCTCTGAGAGGTGATGAGGTCATGAAGATGAAGCTGTCATGAATGGGATTTGAAGAGAGATCCCTTGCCCCATCTACCACGTGCAGATACAGCAAGAAGGTGCTATGAGGCAGGAAGCAGCCCTCTTCATCAGACACTCAATCTGCTGGTGACTTGATCTTGGACCTCCCTGCCTCCAGAACTGTGAGACATAAATGTTTGTTGGTTACAAGCCACCCAGTTTATAGTATTTTCTTACAGCAGCCCAAATGGACTAAGACATGACTGACGCAAGATATTATGAAATCCATTCAAAGTGCTTTAGGCAGACCAGTGGATTTTAGTGTAAAGGTAGAAAAAGTTTATTGGGACTCTTCAGAAGCCACATGGTAACTAACCTTTTTTAAAAAACTGCCTCTTGGAGTTTTCATATGTAGAGTCAAAGAATTATCTCAACAGTCTGGAAAGCCTATGAGAATATTCCTCTATTTTCCATCTACATCTTTGTGATGTAGCCTTTCAGCATCAGGCAGAGAAATACTTGACTCAAAACAGTGTACTGCAACAGAGTGAGTGCAGAAGCAGGCAAGAGGACCAGACGGCTTCTGCTGAACTAGGCATCGAAGAGGTCAAGAGTGATGTGACACCACTTTTCTTAGTATTTTGTTTTGGAAATACAGTTATTTTTTATTTAAAAAGTCAGTTATGTTACATGTAAACGGTTTATTGTTGCTTTAAAATGAATAAATATTTTTAAATCTTTTCTAATTAAAATTTCTAATACAGTAAATATAAATAGATATAACAAAAATAAAAGTTCTCTGAGGTCTTCAGTGTACTTTTCAGTTCTAAAATTTCCATTTGGTTCTTTTTTTAATTTATTTTTTATTATACTTTAAGTTCTAGGGTACATGTGCACAACATGCAGGTTTGTTACATATGTATACATGTGCCATGTTAGTGTGCTGCACCCATTAACTTGTCATTTACATTAGGTATATCTCCTAATGCTATCCCTCCCCACTCCCCCCACCCCACGACAGGCCCCGGTGTGTGATGTTCCCTTTCCTGTGTCCAGCTGTTCTCATTGTTCAATTCTCACCTATGAGTGAGAACATGTGGTGTTTGGTTTTCTGTTCTTGCGATAGTTTGCTGAGAAAGATGGTTTCCAGCTTCATCCATGTCCCTACAAAGGACATGAACTCATCCTTTTTTATGGCTGCATAGTATTCCAGCGTGTATATGTGCCACATTTTCTT